AAAAAAAAAAAAAAAAAAAATCTGAGGATAAAGAGAAGACTTTAGGGTGTATGGGCTTCTGACTGAACACTACTTTTCAAATACACTGTTAAAATAGTTTTAATTTACACACACATATAAATACTAAAACTTTTGCTAACTCAGGGCGCTTGAGCTATCTCTGGAAAAGGCTAATGTAATCCTAAAACACAAAGAAATTCTAATTATGAGATTTATTTTTCTTTTAGCATCTGTTAACTTTCTAGAGCCAAGTAAGTTCTTTGGCAATAGAAGCAAAAACAAACTAGTGTTTTTGTAGGCTGAGCTGGTGGGCTATACATTCTAAATGATTAAAAACAGAGTATGTGATTCCACTGAATTGTACACTTAAAAATGATTAAGCCCTGGCCGGTATGGCTCAGTTGGCTGGACTCAATTCCCAGTCAGGGTGCTTACGGGTGACAACCAATCGATGTCTGTCTCTCTCTCCCCCGCCAACTTCCTCTCTCTCTAAAATCAATAAGCATATCCTCCGGGTGAGGATCAAAAAAATAATCATTAAAATAAAATTAAAATTAGCCCGGCCAGGCGTGGCTCAGCGGTTGAGCATCAACCTAGGATCCAGGCGATCAGGGTTCGATTCCCGGTCAGGGCACATGCCTGGGTTGCGGGCTAGATCAATGACTCTCTCATCATTGATGTTTCTGTCTCTCTCTCTCTCCCTTTCCTCTCTCTGAAATCAATAAAGATATATTTTTTAAAAAAAGAGAAAAAAATTAAAATTAAAATGGTTAAAATGGTAAAAAAAAACAAAACTTAACATGAGATTTTAAGTCAATAAAGTGAAAAAAGAAAATTACTCTGATTTTACTATAAAATGGTATTCAAAGATGCACACTAGAGCCTTATTTTCAGATTACAGTTAAAATTTCCCACCCATACCCCAAAACATGGATGCTACATTATATAAAGAATTGGAAATTAATTATAGGTCCCATCTTGAGATCTGGAAAGATCTGGAAGACAAGTCAATATCTTATCCTTAATCTGACCCTGTAATTCCAATTATACCAAGCTACCATGTTCAGTAGAGGTAATTTCTAGAAACCAGTTCCTCTGTGTAAAGTTGAAGGGGTGCCTTAGTGTGACTTCTATTAATTTATCCTGGCCCACTCTCTACTTGACTATCATGCCACTAAAGCAGAATCTGCAACATTGTTAATTCAAAAGCACAAGCTTTTTATTTTCACACCATTATACACAATAAAGCAGAAAACAGAATACAAAACACCACCAGGTTTAAAACAGCACAGCTAGAGACTATTACTCTAATCAAGGGTTTACCAAAAGTCATATGCCAAAGCCCCAGCTACTGAGAACACAAACCATTCTAAGGGCTACTCCTGACCACCTTCTCCCTATTCATTCTGATACTCTGCTGCACAGGGAAGTGAAAATACATTATGATTTTAACATCCACCCACTACCTGAAGTCTCCCTAAGCCCAAAGGAAAACTTACCTCCGCAAAATGTGTTGATGTGCTATTGTCCATGCGGCTGCCACCACCACCACCTCCTAAAAAACTAAAGAGAAAAAGGAGTAAGTGATTCTATTCCCAGAAACAAGCTTCCCTCCCAGAAGCTAAACAGAGAATGGTACAATGAGAACAAAGCCCAGTAAGGAAAAATGACTCATCCAACATGACACCTATAAAGAAAATTATGACGAACTGACACGTGGATGACTCTATAAAAAAGTGTAACTACAGCCCTGGCCAGGTAGCTCAGCTGGTTGGAGTGTTGTCCCAATGCGCCAGGGTTGCTGGTTAGATCCCCGGTCAGGGCATATACGAGAGTTAACCAGTGTGGATATATGTAATACTTTCAACAATAAAGGTAAATTTATAAATTAATTAATTTAAAATGCTCCTATGGGAGGAAGGGGAGAAAACCAACTTGTGAGTGCATGCACGAGTGGAACAACGAACCGATGTTTTGATGTTTCTTTCTCTCCATCTTCTCTCACTAAAATCAATAAATAAATTTTTTTTTTTTAATTATAACTACAAAATCAAGTGAAAAATTGGGGTGAGGGGCAACCACAGAGAAGAAGGACCTATAGAGCCAGCAATTCAAATCTGATTTAGAAAAAGAAGAAAAACAAACATTTATCCTCAAAGAGGCTAAGAAATAAGACAAGATTCTCAAAATGTTTCATTAAAAAACCATTCAACTACCAAATAAACACATTTGAGAACACAATAATTAATATTTCTTGGGAATGATTAAATGTAGTAATTTAAGGGGTCTGGTACTATATTTTGCACATTATAAAAGGGCTCAATAAATATTTTTTTCTTCTGATAGTTTATCCTGTTCTTTGATTACCCTACCCATCCTTCAGGGCCCATCTCAAACGCAATCTCCTCCAGTAAGTCTTTTCTGAACTCACCACTGAAATGAGATTCTCCCACACCCCTCTACACTGACTTTTATTCAAATTCTACCTTGTATTGTAAATAGCTAGAATTTGTCTCATCCATTTCTACCCCTTTCCCTCCTTTCATAAATATAAGTTCAAAGGATAAAGACTGTATTTTATTAACACAAGTATATGCAGAGTGTCTATTATGTGTCAGACATTAAACAGAGCGCTCGTTACTTTTGAAAACCCTGCAATGCCATATTCCATATGAATAACTTGAAAATAAAAGTTGTTAAATTAGTATCATATGTGAGAAACAACTATGTATCTAACTAGCTCAATGAAGCAGGGACGTATGGTAGAACACTGAGCACACAGTCCCTGGAGCTGTCCTGCTCTGTCACCTATCAGCTGAGAGACTTCAGGCACCAACCTCAGTGCCTCAGTGTCCTTACATATAAAGTGGAAATAATAATGGCACTTAAAATAGGGTAGTGGTGAGGATTACTTAACACATGTGAAATACGTAGAACAGTGCTTGGCACCACTGAAAGCCCTTGACAGAGGACAAGGATGGTGATGGTGGGGGTGGGGCAGTGATAGGTGCTCCTGGGTGGGAGCACGGGAAGGACATGTCAGTTTCATCCAGGAGGTTGGGAAGGGCGCTGCAGAATTGGTCTTGCTTGGCACAGGAGGGAGTTCCCTCTAGGTGGAGAGTTCGGCTAAGGTAGAGAGAAGGATGTTCTGAGAACTTCTTAGTCAGACAAGAACTGCTCCCCACTCCTAAAATATGAACATGGTGTCAAAATGGAAACAAACATGGCCTATTTCCATCTCTAGAACATTTCGTTTGTATTCTGAGAGAAAACTAGCCAGACTGGAAAAATGCGGCTTATGAACAAATGCTTTTCTCAAATAGACATGATCAGCATCTACAGAGGCAGGGAGGTTGATAATATAGAAGCATTTAGCCAGGTTGTGGAAAAACTTAAGAAAATGAAGGATTTAAACAAAACAATTAATTATACTGGTTAATAGCGTGGTCTGAGTTTATCGAATTATATTTTAGCTCTTTACTTTCCAAACAAAACAAGCTGCAGTCAAGCTCACAACCCACAGTCAGATGGTACCAATGCTAGGCACAGCCCTGGTAAAACCCAATTTCTTTCCATCCTTCACACTGCCACAACACTACTCTTTCAAGAGACGAGGGACCCGAGCTGCTATCTCTCTTAAATGGCAGAAATTACTAAAAATAAAACTAATGAAGGGTACAGAAAAAGACCCACTCAACTTGAGCTGTACATAAATAAATTCATTTTTATATAATTCAGTGTAGAATTTCAAAACAGAATTAGTTTAAAATTAATGTGGTTTATTAACAATTAAAAGTAATAACACAAGATGAAGAAGACTCGGGGTGAAATGTTGTTTCTTTTGATAGGTAAAGTAATTTCAAAGTGTGCTTTTAAAGTTTAAGAAGACAGCCTTAGCACAACATTTTTAAAGTAAAAACTGGCCTGCACTCTGTTCAAGTGATTTACTTTGCATTAAGAAATGGGTGTGAGACATAATTTAAAATTCCATCCCCTGATGGAACTGCTTGATGGTGACATGACTTTCTTTTTCCTTTTCTCAGCCTGCTCAGCCTATGAAGTTTCCTATTTGAAAGTTAACCTTCTGAAAATCCTTTGGAATTTTAAGGAAATCTAATCTGGTGTGTAAACAAAAGGGAATGTACATAGCTTTTCCTCCAACACTCAGAAGCCTAGGAGTGTTGAAGTAGCAGCTAACAGGCTCTAGTGCTTACCAGGCAAAGCAAAGGCAGCCATATGAACTAAATAAATTACCTTTGAAAAATGTTCACCTTTATCATAAAAAATGCTGTTTCTCTCTTTCAGAAGGCTTGAAAGGTGTGTGAGGGGGTTTACTGGGGAAGGCGGTTAAACTTGAAAAGGAGTCTGGCCCACATAGCTCAGCGGTTGAGCATCGACCTATGATCCAACAGGCTGAGGTTGATACCGGGTCAGGGCACATGCCTGGGTTTCAGGCTCAACCCCCAGCAGGAGGCAGCCAATCAATGACTCTCTCTCATCACTGATGTTTCTATCTCTCCTGCTCTATGAAATCAATAAAAAAAATATATTTAAAAAAAAAACTTAAAGAGGAAAGTGAAAAGGAACTGGGATTTAGTTAAAATAGAATGCTAGATTAACAAGGGAGCAGGTTATTGAGGGAGAAAAGATTAATAGTTTAAAAAACAGCTTGATGGCAAAGATATTTTATGTGTTTCAGTGAGTTCTCTATTTCCACCAAGGAAAAGAAATACATTTAATAGACTTCAAAAAGTTTTCAACAGTCTGTTTCTTTAAAGAAAATAAAAATTCTTGAAAAAATGTCAATTATGGTATGCTAGTAAATGCTTAAAAATTGGCAGTCTTGGAGAACAGGGAAGGGGAGGCCCTGATTTGTACTGTTTTTCAGTTTCCTTGGTGTAAATACTACGTCCCCAAAAATGACTATTTTATTAATACAAGTATATGTAGAGTGCTTATTAAGTGTCAGACATTATACAGAGCACTCATCATTTTTGAAAACCCCACAATGCCACATTCCATATGGATAACTTGAAAATAAAAGTTGTTAAATTAGTATCACATGTGTAAACAATAAAATAGCTGCCTATTCCCAAAGACAGGAAGAAATAACGTCCCCATGAAATTTGCAAGGAGAGGAAACTGGCTAAACCTTTGGGGAAAACGGGATGGAAAAAGAACCACAAGAACCGCTGGATAACACTTTTACTTCGAGAGACACAAATGCACCCACACTCACCCCAATGATATAAAGTCCACAAACTACAACAAATGGCTTTCATTTTCAGAATTACAGTACCAATCCCGGCACTGTGCTGAGCTTATCAAGGAAACATACACCCTGACTAGTCAGGAACCAAAAGTGAAAAAAGCAAAGTAAATGCCACTGTCGACGTCGGCTGTGTCATCATTCCCAGGCCTTATTATTCTCTTATTAGAAACGATTTCACACCAGTATTGGTTTCAGAAGTTAAAAATATTTTTGCTCAGCCAGTATGGCTCAGTGGTTGAGTGTTGACCCATGAACCAGGAGGTCAGGACTGATTCCCAGTCAGGGTACATGCCCCAGTTTTAGGCTCAATCCCCAGTTGTGGGCTCAATCCCCAGAAGGGGGTGTGCAGAAGGCAACCAATCTAGTGACTCATCATTGATGTTTCTATCTCTCCCTCTCCCTTCCTCTGAGATCAATAAAAACATAAAAAATTAAATAAAAATGCTTTTGTAAAAAATACTTCAGATGTAGAACAAGCCCAAAAGTACCCTACAATCGATGCCAAAAAAGTAATTGAACTACCACATACCTTTAAAAAAAGTTGAGTTGCTGTGTATCCACTTTATTGCTCAAGCCTAGACAGGCTTCCTTCGGGGTTGGCTGGCCCTCGGGGGAAACCTTGGATGTCCCCACAATCCGCCAGGTCTGGCAAGTTGTCACCGGAAACCCCGGCCACCCTGGAAACGCAGCAGTTTCCTTATATAGATTCCTGGTTAGAAATAGTGCAGACTCTCCCCCCTTGGGTACAGTTCTGCACTAATAGGCAGGGAGAGGCTAAGGTCTTCGTTGCTCAGCCTGAAGGAAAACAGACCCCTCGAGTTTTTGTGGGAGACCAAGAAGATGAGCCTCCCATCAGGCCACCCCCCTATCCCAGAGGAGAACCTACGGCCTCTCTGGTGCCAGATGTTAATATTCCACCATCGTCAGTGTTACCTCCACCCCAAGGAGGAGAAGGCACTCCCATACCCGGATGGGCTGGGAGACTCTGCCCACGCCAAGTAGCCCTCCAGATGCCAGTCAGAGAGTCTTGAGAACCTAAGAGGCTGAATGACAATGGTACAGTTCAACCTGGCTGCTCCATGGTGTACTACCAGCCCTTCTCCACCACTGACCTCCTCAATTGGAAGCATAACACCCCGCCGTATTCCAAGAAGCCGCAGGCCATGACAGAACTCATGGAATCCCTCTTCCAGACACACCGGCCAACCTGGGAAGATTGCCAGCAGCTCCTCTGTACCCTGTTCAACACGGAGGAGAGCAGTCGGATTATCGGGGGGCGTGTCAATGGCTA